TTTCCTGTTTAGATATTTTGAACTAATAGTTGCAATTCCTTTATCAATTCTCTGCCAATCCTTTTTTGGAGTCTCTGCCACAATTTGCAGTTGAGTGAAAAACCAGATCGGTATGAACATGTTTGGATTGCGAAACTCACATTATAAATGTCTGTAAATTTACCTTAACTACCAGCAGCTCCAGACAAATTGGAGGAGACCTGCAGGTGAGAATTATTTCCCCAGTGAATGATTACCAAATCCATTCACGATTATTCAGTGAAGTAACAATTGTCAGGAATTCAAAGATAATTTTACATTTAAGGCCAAAGCAAATGACTGATAGGTTCTATTAAGTCCGCCATGCTTCCAGTCATCTTCATGGACCTTCAATATGAATTCTCTGTGAATCCCTGACAATTCTCATTTTAGTGAAAAACATTGATTGTGTTTTCCTGCGCAAATAATGGTGTCCTGGATAAAAAAGCCATTTCCCCGTAATTCAGTAATTGTTTTGTTTTTTCTGCTACGAAAGTGTGTCCTATTCGAGCACCCTCCTTCTACAATATGAGTCTGATGATACAAGATTAAGCTCAATGGTTAATGATTTATATGGAGATTATTTACTAAACCTCAAATTCTAGTGAATTGAATTACAAAACATTTACATAAATAAGCGATTTAGACAATTTCCCCAAATCTGCTGTTGTCACATCTTGGCATTTTTTTTAAGACTCCTGCATCAGTTTTGGAATGTTTGCCTTACTCTTAATAACAAGAAGGGTGTTTTTCCCCTCTTTTTAAATAATCAATATTTATTTTTAGGTGCTATGCTTTATTTATTTTTTTTGAATTCCATTTCTTGTACTAATGTTTTTGTATGTATGTTTGTTTTTTTTCTCACCTGGGCAAACAGTTACCGAGTGTTTGCAATAAAAAACATATCTGACATTTATTAATTTTAAACCTGGCATGGAGAAATTCTAAATGATTTTTGTGCTGGTATGGCAATAGAGTTTTTTTTAACTGGTCAGAGTCCTCTGCCTTTCACATGAGTGTAGAGTAGAATTTGTGATGCCTGGAAAAAATGTGAATTTTGGCAAACCTTTAAGTGATTCTTTATTTTTGTTTTTTTGGGTGATATTCATATTTTATTCAGCAAGGAATGTTTAACACAATCTTTAATGACTTTGTCTCCCACAGCTCACTGCGCCAAACCTGAGCCCACCTCCTGTTAATCTGTGTAATATGTCCTGTTATTAATCATTGAATTAATCCGTTGGATGAATTGTGACAATAAAATGTAACTTTAAGTGTTGTAAAACTGCTGCAAAAATACAATTTCATACTTCAAATGCATTTTTTTGCAGATTTTTTTTTGTACTTTTAATAACAATTGGATTATATTTTGTAAATATTGAGTAATTAATCCAGTTTACATGTCTATTTTTTTGTTTTGTTTTTTGTACAGGTCATGTAAATAAAATCAATGTTTCTCAGACAGATGGCTGTTCTATTTTTTTCTTTCTAACACTCCTAAATTTGTTGAAAAATGAGGTGAACAGTTGAGGCTCGTTGGTCAGATTACCTGGTGCAACGCCCCACCAGTTTTTAATTCTGTAATAGGTTGAAGTTCTGCAGGGCACCTCCCCCTCATTGGTTGCTGTTTGGAGAAGCTTTCATGAGAGCATCTAGGCATGTCGAAAATGGGGCTGGGTTGTCCACAGGAGAGAGCATGAAGCTGCAGAGAGAGTGTGCAGCAGCAGCTGGCCTCTGGCAAATGTAAGTGTTTAGTATTATCTTTTTCTCTCCCCCAATAGTTCTAG